TCATTTCTTATAAATACCATTTCCTAATGTAATTTTCCAAGATATTATAGATCATAATGCTAAAAAAACTAAATTTATCAAAAGTAACAAACTTTTTATTTCTTAAGCCATGTGCATTTATGAAAGACCTTATAAAGTTTCAAACAATTTCATCCACTAGTTTTGTTGTTGGAATGAAATATAGCAAGACATGCATTGGCTACTCAGAAAGTTAGTAGCCTAGGCGGTCATCAGGTTAAGAGACACCTGGTTTCTTTTTTTTGCATCAATCTGGTTTTGGGGGTGTCCTTGACTCTTTGGATCTTGTGTAGAGTCAGCTTGTATCTATTCTTCCTTTTCCTGCCTTGCTACTCATCTGTTTTCATCTTCCCCTGCTCCTGTACCTGTTTCCTCTTGTCAGTTCCTTCTACCTGAGTTTCTGGGTCACATTATCATATTTTTTGCTGCAAACCCATCTGCCATACATGATTTTGGTGACTATCTGGTAGGTACAGAACCTGTGGAGGCCAGGCTGTACAATTTTGTCCATGTTTGAAGGACCTCAACCACAGATCCTTGGATGTTACAAGTCTTACCAGAAGGACTCTCTCTTAATTTTCACACTGCTCCTCCCTATCTCCTCAAGGGGATCCCATATCCTGCCAGTATTTGTCAGAGGCAGTTCAGGACCTTTTTGCCAAGGATGCTATAGAATCCATTTCTCATCTTGGTTGTTTGTTGTCCCCAGAAAAACAAGGGACTGGTGATCTATCATTGATATTTCCAGTCTGAACTGATTTTTTAGACATTCCTCATTTCACCATAGAGTCCTTTCTCTCACTTTGATAGGTGTTTGCTTTAGGTTTGTGGATGACAAAGTTTGACGTATTTGATGCTTATGCTTACCTCCATATCCCCAGCATCTCATTCGTTTCTCCAATTCATTGGGTGTTTCAATTCTGAACTTTTCTGTTTTGCCTTTCCTTGGCCCCATACATTTTTTGTCAAAGCTTTTATCAGATGGATCCATTCTCAGGTGCTTCGGTTACATCATTTCTTGGACACTTCACTGCAGAAACTTTGGTAGTGCCTGAGAGGAAATCAAGCAACAGACAAAGAGAGAAGAGACTTGCAAAACAGAGGACAAGAAAGGAGTATTGAACCAGACCCATCAAAACAGTTATACTGGAGTAGCCAAACCTCAAAACAGTCAGAAACACTTCTATAACAAGAAGGCCAATGGTCAACATTTCAAGGTAGGGCAGAAGGTTCTAGTTCTGCTACTGACAGACAACAACAAATGCACCAGACAGTGAAAATGACCTTTCATAGTACAGGAAGTGGTTAACAGGATGCACTGTAAAGTGAATGGGATGATTAATGTCTACCATGCCAATCTGTTGAAGAGGTACTTCAAGAGGGAAGAGGAACAAAATCTACTGTCAGCATACAGATTGATAAGGATATACGGACCTCAGGGAACACGAAGTCCAGATGAAGACAAGGAATCTTGTTAAGGAGAAGCCCTACTGGAGACCCTACCCTAGGAGAGACAGACAAAGGAACTGTGAATATTAGTGTAGACTATGTGAGAAGTCTTAGTATGTGTACTAAGAACAGTCTTTGTATATAGTGGAAAAAATATTGTAAATATTTCTCTCAAAGATGGTCTTATGTCATGATATAAAAGACTGCTCAGTGTGGATATTATTGATTAATGTGTTTTGTGAGTGAATATTTTATGATTCTTTAGTTCTGTTCATAACAAGAGAGATAGAAGCAATCATTTTAAAGTAAATGTTATAACAAGTTTAGTTACATAAATCAGTAACAGTTGTAAGTTGTATTTATAATTCATTGATGTTGAGACTATTGCAATATATTGACATGGAGAATATAGAGATTTGTAGAATGTGGACAGCTGATTAAGTGATAAGCATATAAATTGTGTGAGATGAGCACAAACAACAGACAGACAATAGCAGAAGAGAGTAAAGTGCAGCCAAAGGAAAGGTTACAAAATGAAAGTTAACCATCATAGGAGTGGATAGCCTAACAGTTGATATGTTAAAGTGAGATTAACAGTTTTCTGACATTTTAGAATAAGAATTTGTCTCATCAAAGGGTTTTCTAAAGCAGTTGAACCTGCCTGTGTGGACTTTGACAATAATGCAGATGATTATTGGAAGTAGGCCTAAATACAATAAAGCAGACAAATATTGGAAGTTCAGGATACAACAAGAAATGAATTATATGTCGATACTGTTGTGATAAAAGAGAGAGATGAAAAGGAATAAGTGAATTATCCACTGATAGTGTTTAAGATAAAAATTGAGAAAAGTAGTTGAGCTTGTTAACTGAAATTCTAAAGCAATTGAATATGCCAAAGTGGACTTTTGACAAGAAGCAGAGAACTATTAGGTCATCTAGATATTAATGTTGCTTTTTTTAGATGAAAAAACCCAATCAACTTGTATATCAAAACAAAACATTTATTAAATGAAATAGTCTCCATTTCTATTGATGATGCTTTTCCATCTTACAATCAGGTTGTTAATGCTGTGATTAAAGAAATCACTTGGCTTTGAAGCAAAAAACGTGTTGATGTCCTCTTTAACACCTTCCACATTTGCATACGTTTTCCCATTAAGATGGTGTTGCAGTGAACGAAAAAGATACTAAGATGATGGTGCCATATCTGGAGAACATGGTGGGTAGGGGAGAACTTCCCAGCCCAACTCAATAATTTTGTATTGCGTCAAACGTGCTGCATGTGAACATGCATTGTTGTGGAGTAGAACACCTTTCTGATTGATGAGTGAAAGCATTTCTGATGATGGGCTTGATTTAAACATTCAAGTTGCTGATTATAGATCTCTGCATTGCCAGTTCACTGTGGATTGAGGAGTTCAAAATGAATTACTCCTTTGATGTCCCACCAAACGCAAAGCATCACTTTTTGCAGATGGAGTCCAGGTTTTGGGTTGTAAGTGGTTTTTGTCTAAGGCTGAGCCATTGTTTTTGGTCAAAACGTTTCCATAAACTTCTTTGATATTCTTTGTGGCTACAGAAGCATTGTTTCCCTTATTGCATTCAAAGAGCGTTACACGCCGAATGTGTGTTTCATCATGTGCCATCACTATAAGTGATTAGAGTTTACTAAACTTTACACATTATATAGGCTACACTAACATGATGTTTAGGCAGCTCGTTTTACTATTATACGTGATGTACGTTTTTTGGGGGTGGTTAATGAAAGTATTCCAAAAACGTGACATTAATTTCTTGATGACCTAATATAATGGATATTAGTTTTTCTTCATAAGCTGTCTTGTAGAGTAGAACTGTACAGTTTCCTTTGTCTTCCAGTATAATACAAATAGTGGGCTCTTTTTGAAGATTAAGAATGGCTGTCAGTTCTTAAGATAGATGGTTTATGTTGCTGTAGAGTGAGGGAGAAGTCTGAGTTCATTACCACCTGATGTTGGAAGATCTTGAGTAACTATTATTATGGTGGTTATAATATCCATTTACAGAGTAAACTTAAATGTTGGAGAGAGAAAATTAAGAGAATAAGGGAGAAAAAAGTTGTTCTGTGGGAGTTAGGATTTTGGTACTTTAGTTATTTTTGGCCACTTGTGGAACATTGATCAATTTTTCTGTTATGTGAGATAAGTTGGTTCAATTTGTCAAAATGATTTTTTCTAAATGTAGTTGAAACTGTGGTTTGTCATGCCAAAACTTGATTAAAATCTTCTTGGTTCAGTGTGTTTATAGGTTGAGTTTTAAGATAATTTAAACCGTGCTACAAGGTTTTGTTTTTGTCTGCAGAGCTGAATGGTCTGGATGGGTATTTTTGTGTCTTGAAAGGTTATTTGATATCATTGGAGGGAAGTAGAAGATGGAACTTTATATGTAAACACTGGTCAAATTCATGTATCTCTCAATCTGATGAGGAAAATAAGATGATTGTGAAGCATGCAAGTTGAATATTTTCAAAATGGTCAGTCCATAATGGCTCCTGAGATGTTGTTTTAGTGAAAATTTATGCAGAATAGGTATAATAGGTTTGAGAACTTTAATAGACTGAAACTGCCTGTTAAATGAAAAGGAGATGATATTTCAGTCTCTGTACTCATTCCTTCTTCAGGTTACTGTAGATACACATATAGCATTGTATAAAGATAAGTACAGCTGTGTAGTAAATATAAAGCTGTATAGGTTGAGCAAGTGCAGTGATTGGCAGGTGTTGTCAGTAGAGGTGTTTGTTATCAATAGAATTTGCTGAGGGGGGGTTACCTACAGATCAGTGATGTATAAACCATTGTTTCTGTTGAGTTCAAGTTGGTGTAGTTTGCTGTAGTTAGCTTATTTTACTTTTCTTTCTTTGTGGGGAGCTTTGTTTAATTCTGTGTTGATCCCAGTTTACACATGTCCTGTTTTATAGTTATGTTCAGCTAAGGACAGTTTATATGGATATATTAACATAGTTGTGTTGTTGTTTGATTTTTGTTTTTCTCCCTTTCATTTAACAGGCAGTTTCAGTACATTAAAGTTCTTAGGCTTACTGTGTTTACCTTGCCTAAAGTTCTACCGCAATTAATATTACTTTGAAATATTGAAAATGTGATTAAAATTGTTATATTTGTTTTCACTGTTTAGAAAGTTCAAAATATTATTGTCTTTTAGAACAAAATATTGGTCTGTAAAGTAATTAACAGAAAGCACTGTATTGAACCACAGATCCAGTTATTTAATACATCTTATGATGTGTAATCTTTAAATAGATAGAGATTTCTCAATATTGAATGTGGTTTTACTTAGAAATTGTGAAACTACTGGTTGATATAGTAAAACAATTTCAAAAGAGGAAAGTTTGTAGTACACTTGTTGACTTCAAAAATGTGTTTAATGTGCATGTATTGTTCCAGTTTCATTCAACACCTGACCATTATTTGTTTTCCACCTCTTCGTATAATTTATTATGTTAATATGTGTTTTCAATATTTTATTTTCTATAGGTGCTACTAGTTTGGTACCTTATGTGTCAGCGGTCTGCACATATACAAAATTGGCAAACATTATTCTCTTCTTCTACCATGATCCTCGCCTAGGAATACTCTACATGGTTTTATGTTTGGGTATGTAAATGTTTGCTTTTTCTTAATTAGTTTTTATTAATATTTCTTTTAATAATTATTGTGTAAAAATCTTATAACTGTGCTTAGGGTATGCCATTTAAATTTTGATATTATCTATATAACTACAGATCTTTCTCAAATGACAACTCACCTCCTCAAACAGAAATGCTTTGTACATCTGCCTATGAGACATTCATGTCACTGACCTTGAGGTAACTCCTACTTAAATTATCATGTTTAATGTGAATTGTGCTGGTGCATGAAAATGCTATCATGCAGCAAAAACCCTACATGAAAAGGAGGGGGACACAATTTTCATGTGCAGTAACTCTCCCGATGCACTTGCACTCATGATAACATCATTCTTTTTCTCAGCATTGTACGACACTGATGTGTTCAAGTTTCATCTTGCTTCAGTTTATGAGACATGCATTTGGTTATGAATCTTTGATTTTTGTTTTCTTTTACTTTTGTTTAAAAAGTATTGATTATTATCTTGAATTCTCAAAAGATGGAGACTTGTACTTAGTCCTGTGTGAGTGACAATGTTACACATACAGATCTTATTTCTACTAGGGCTTCTAGAGGCTTGTTTACTGTTAGGGATGTTACAAACTTTGTTCAAAGTGTATTGGATTTCCATATGGTTACTATTCTCCTATGGTCCTATTCTCATCACGGCAGTGAAAGTCCTTTCTCGTCTGTCAGAATGGCCTATTGGACTATGAAATTATGGATTTCATTTTCAGGTATGTTTCTCTTCTTATCTTTTGCCCGTGTTCTTTCATATTGCTAATTCTTCACTCCATGAACCCTTTATCTTTCCTCATTGCTTCTTATTAGGGTTTATGCTGTTTTCTTCTAACAGTTCCTCACTCACACCCAAATGCTTCATCCCCCTTGTATTCATGACTCTTTTTTTGTCCTGACTTGCTCATATTTTTCTTTCTTTGTTAGATTCCTTTTCTTTGGTATCCATCTGGCTTGCTAGGGACCCCTTGCATTCTATTTCACTCTCTAGTTGCCCATTTTTCATCTGTTTTCTTGACACCCATCTGTATTTCCTCTCCCTTCTTCCACCTTTTGTCTGAAGCACTTCATGGTTTTCTCTGGGGTTTTCCATAGAAGTTCATTTCCTTTTCTTTGCCAGTTTAGTCTGTTTCACTTCTTCTGCTCTGTACCTCCTTACATAGTTCCCTGCTGTTGGGATGCATTAGGTTGGGTTGAGTTGGGTTTCTCTTTACTGTACACCTTCCTCCTCCTCATGTACATGATCTCCATCAAGCTCCCTTTCTTTGCCCAAATATATTCGGTGGTGTTCATTTTTCTCTGTTGACTTGAGGCTGAAGTTGTATGACCTCAGTCCTTGTTATATACCCAAATTTTTATTGTTTCTTGACCTTTCCACTTGACTCTTGTTCCTCATCTGGATCAGTCTATCCCTTTCTCTTTCTTCTTGCCCTCCTATTACCTGATATCTGTTTCATCACTTTTCTTGTCAGTGACTATCCTGTCACATCTGCCCTGTGGGTACTTGTCTCTTCCTCTTTGCTGGTAGTTGGTCTCATTTTTTGCCAGCAGTCACTTTTCAAATCCCAACTTATCTTTGCTCATCTATCTCTCACCTCTATGATCGTTCAGACCGGGATCGGCTCTTGTATCCTTTTTGGGCTTTTCAGAGTTATTTATCATGGATTGAGGTACATATCTGGACAACAACATCACTTCTGGAATTTGGATGCAGGATGAGCTATCACTCCACAACATGTTCAGACTTCTTGCTGTTCATTGTGAATTTCCTGTCCCTTCCAATGGATCAATTGGTCATGGTCCATTTCAACATATCCATGGTTGTTTGTTACATTTACTGTCAAGGGGACACCCATTCCAGGACCCTATGCTTTTGGGCATTGGACCTACTCTTCTGGTCTCATTCACATCAGGTTCATCTTGTTGCCTATCATGTGCATGGAGATATTTACCTAGTGCCAGACCACTTCTTTTTGCTGGACCATGTTCTACCCATGGAGTGGTCTCTTCACCCTCAAGTCTTTTGTTGGGTTTGCTCTCAATTGGCACACCCTCATAGATACCTTTGCCATCCTTCTTAGCTCCAATCTTCCTCTCTTCTGGTCCCCTGTTCATAATCTTTTGGCTCTGGCTGTCAAGACTCTCAGCTGGGACTAGTTTCACATTTTTCTATATGCCTATCCTCCTCTTCTATTTCTCCCTTGGGTCCTCAACTTCATACATGACACTTCTTGAATTCTACTGTGGTGCCTCTTATGCAGATTCAGCCTTGGTTTTTTTGCTTGGCGTCCACACCCCCATAATTTATCCAATCTCCCTTCACTCTTGCTTCAACCTCACACATCTCTTTTTTGTCAAGGAATGTCGTCTTTCCATCTTCATGTGTGGGATTCAACCAGTCCGTTGCCTGTCATGCCAGACTTTCCTATGATGTAACCTTCTTGTCACATTCCTATTGCCCTTCCACTTTGTCTGTCTATTGACAGCAGTGGCAGTCATCTGTTAATCTATCCATTACTCCTTTCCTCCCAGCCATTCTACTGTGCTCCACCTTTTGGCCTTTTTTAATTGGTTATTTGATCATGTTTTGTTGGTTTACATCATTGTTGATTATTGGGCAGTGCTGTCCACTACATTTTACCTTTCCCTATACCACAGGGGTTTTCTTCTGTCATTTCTTTTCTCTCTTGCTCCTTTCTTCTTCACCATCTTCCTTGCCAAATTCCTATGCCTCTCTGGATCCTTAATGTGGTTTTGCATGCTTTCAAGTATGCCCCATTTGAGCTGTTGGCTTCTTGATATTTGTACCACTTTTCTCTTGCATCTTATTTCCTCCATCTCTCCTATAGTTGCCATAGTTCAGTTATCTATTCTGTTGATGCTTCTTCCACCACTTACTCTACTTGGCCCAGTCTTTCAATCTTCAAACTTCTACTGCTTGGGAAGATAACTGTCCTTTCTATCCTATCTCTCACTTCCATGATCATTCAGACCTGGATTGGCTCTTGTATCCTTTTTGAGCTGTTTAATGTTACTTATCATGTACTTCTCTCCTTTGGGGTCCCTGCCATTGCCTGTTCTTACCCTGGGACCCCTCTTCTTCCAGGGACCTCTCTCCTTTACTCTTACTGAATGGATCTGTCATCTCCTCCAGTTGGTATATTCTTCTCTGGATGTGGTTGTCCCTGGCTATTTCACATTTCTTCACTTCAGATTCATCACCTTTCTCATTCTCTTGCCTCCCATTTTCACTGGCTCTAGGATGAGATCTTCCAGTTGGATATGTGGATGACTCTCCATATGTTTATCACTTCTTTTCTTCACTATGTGGCTATTTTTTTGTCTCCTGCAGGTTTTTGACTTTCACTGGTCACCATACTTCAGTTGCCCACCATCTTTGAAATACATGCTTTGTTTCCTTCTTAATTTCTCTCCCTTTCTTTTGAACAGAATCCTGCCAGCTGGCTTGTTTTACCTACGATGGATATCTGGGTATTTCTCCAGGGCTCCCCAGAGTGAATTCTCCCATCCCATTTTCTTTGAATGGAGCATAGGAGACCCTTGCAACTTACCAGTTCCCAGCCACTGGGGTGGTTAGACCATGGAAAAATCCTTACCAATTGAGCTTAACACAATATGGTGAGAAATAGGGCAATAGTGACACTATCAGTGTAGTATGAGTCACCCCATACAAACTTAACAGATAACTAATGTGCCCTTTTCCTGCAGCCCAAACCTGTTCAGTAGAATTGAGGTGAGCACATACTGTATGATCTGATCATGCCCCAATCATACTACACACATTGGCTTGTTGACCTCTGATATGCAAGTGCTTCAATGGTCATATTCTCATTCTACCTGCACTTGTGATACTTGGGGCTCATTTGCCTCTCCATTATTACATTTTGGGTGAAGAGTATACCCTGATCAAAACAAGATGCTGTCTCCCATGGGTGTGCTCCTGTGGAGCCCCTGCTGTCGGGTGTCTTACTCAATGGAATTTCCTTCATGTGCTTTCTGAAAGTGCTTAGTAAAAGTTTCCACTACTTCATTATGAAATTCTAGCATTTCTGTCTGTGGTGGTGAGTTATTGTCTTGGAAGTTAATATTCTCCTAATCTGAAATTGTATTTCCAGTAGACACCTTCTCACCACTTCCAGTGCACATTTGTTGTCTTGCCTAATCAAATAATGATGTTATTACAAGTGCAAGTACACAGAGGGAGTTACTGTCCAATGGAGGCTGTATCACTCTCCTATTGGTGGAGGGTTTCTAATGAATGATGATGATATCATGCAACAAAAAGTTCACACTCAACACATGAATTTAGATAGGAGTTACCTCAAGACTAGCAGTTTACAAATCTCATAGGCAGACATGCAAGGAAGATAGTATTTATGAGATGAGTATCTAATGGATACTCATATTAGGAAAATATTAACTTTAAGTATGGAAAAGTGTAGATGAAATAGACTAGTTAAGGTCAGAATAGAAGCTACCATTTTTATTGTTTTCATACAACTGTTTTAGAAAAAATCAGTGCTTGATGCATTATTGAGTTTTTTAAGCATATAAATAAATATTTTCAAGAAACACTATTGATGACTTATTATTGAAGAAAATTTTATATTTTATTCATAGCAAACACGAAGTTTTATTTAATAAATCGTTGCTTGTGCCTTGTATCATCATTATAACAAATGTTCTTTTAAATGATAATTATTTTATACTGCTAATGCTATACTGTAATGTGAAATTAGTGGAAGATTTTTAAATCCAGAAATGCAGATAGTTAATACCAAGAGATGAGAAAAATGCTAAAAAACATCTTTATATGGCAAATTCACCATTCACTTTGAAACAAAAGTGTTTTTTTTCAACAACTTTTAGTGACAATCATGAAATATAAATTTTCTACTTTAAGAACTAAATTACTTCTCAACTTTTACAATTGACTATCAACAAGGTCTTGATTATAATGAATTTTTGAAATGATTAGTTTTCTCCAGAATGATAGGATACAAACACTAGAACCATGCTCATGTATTTCTGAGTTTTATGGGCTGCTCAAGGTCATTTTTGAGAAACATACACATCTTTTAAGAAAATATTTGGAAAAATAATGTTAAAGTTAATAATAATTGCATAGTAAAAACATTTGATTTGAAACCATGAAAATTGGAGAATTGTTTCTCTGTGGTACAAAGTCTTTCAGCTTCTGGGTCCTTCAGTGGACCCTAGAACCCTATCCTGATTGTTTTTCACTCGGGCCTTTGGCTTCAACAGATTTTCAGTTTTTTTTTACTGTTATGTCTGTATAAATTTCTAGAACTATGACAAGCATAGGTCTACACATTTGGACTTTATGCTTGTGGAGAGTTGTATATACATCTAGAACTATGACTCACATAAGTCTAAACTGTACCTGTGATGCTGGATATTATTGTAGCTGTGTTGGACCAAATGTCCAAAAATTTTAGATTTTGTCATTACACTAGTTACTGCCGGTTTGGACAATTATTAGAAAGTAGTGACAGGAAAGATAATTTGCTGATGTTGTAAAGCTAAATATTTCTTATTTCCTTTTCTTTTTGCCTATTTAAGCCACAATTATTTAGTTCATAGTGATGGTTATCTTTTCAAATGCTTTATGTAATACTTTCATGAGAAATGATGAGCTTTGTTGTACAAGCATGTCTGCTACCTCTCAGGTGTGTGCCTGAGAATGAAAGTTCTTGGATTTGTACTTTTCTTTTACATATTTCCAAACTTTATGTAGTAAAATGTACAAAAAAAAAGATAATTGTATGCTATAACATGCAATAGATCTGTTATATTTATGGTCAAGAAATGAAAATATTAAACATTTTTAGGAGTCTGTGGTAAACTGTTACAGGCCAGGGAAGTAACACTGTTTAAAATGAGGAACCTGGGAGTAGCAAAAACACACACACATACAATGAGGGCTTAGTTATTGGAGGGCTTTTTTTTCTTGAGATTTAACTACTTTTTTTATAAATTCAGAAACTAGATAATTGTTGTGTACTGGGTATGAGTAGTTAATGACAATAACACACATTGCTCATAATTTCCAGTATTGTGTTTAAACGAATGAGTTCGTGGGTAATTCACCCATAACTGCTAATTAATATTTTGATGTTTTGTGTTTCTTCAGTATATGTTGTGGAGACTAATATGTCAGCAATGTATTGTCTGTCAACTGCACTTAATAAAAAAAAATGCCGTGATATTGCAATAATTTGGTCTTAATCACAAATCAGTTTTATATTAATTTATTAATAACTCATGTAATTTTATAGCACTACATACTTATTCCATTGCATATTGCTTTGTTAAGGTAATAAAAGGATTTAAAGTAGTACAAAATTATGCAATTATTTCCAAGTTTGCACAAAATATATTACTTTGCACACAGTATTACTATGTTAGTGTCAACATTGCACCACTATGTGAATTATACAAGACATTTTGTATGACTGTGAATAGGATGAAGAACACATTTTATGAATGGTGAATTATTTAACCATATTAGATATGTTTTGCACAAATATTTGTGGAACCTTTGTTGTTTTATAGAACACTGTAATAATCATTTGTGTATAAAGTATATAACTTATATTACCCAATCCAACATGTGATTTTTTAGTGATTTCTCAGTCACTAGACCAAAATTGAGGTACCATGGCCACAACATCGTGCTGGGTAATTTTCAATCCTTGCTTTTGATGTTAATTCTGACACCTACAATTTATTTATAATTATGGATACTAAATTTAAGTACTATGCAAATACTGTCCTTTATATATATATATATATATATACGTGCATGGTTTTCTCAGAGTTTGTCTTTCTTCCAGTTCAACTGGTGATGCTGCCTGAACCATTACATCAAGGAGAGGATAATGTTATCTATTTCAGTAAGAATGATTTAGAGGTAAAGATTGTTATATTGTAAATATAATTATTTTATTATTGTTTTTTTTAATCTTTCTGCAATTTTCTTGATTAAATTTTTATATTGTGTTGTTTAGATTAAGTCTAGGCAGAAAATAAACATTTCCTTAATTAGTGAAAGTAGTTATTCCGAGAAGATATCTAAATTCTGTATACAGAATACTTTGATTTGTTTCACATCTGCCAATTAAATTTGTATGCCACTAGCCTTGAGTTACCTCCTACTTGAAAACGCGTTTAACGTGAACTGCACAAGTTCAAGATGACAAAACTTCTTCGAGCAGTAGCTCCCTCTAAGCACTTGCGCTCAAAATAACTTCTTTTCTTCAGCATTGTGTTGAACAAACTTGTTTTTTAAAATTGCTAAACAATTACAAGATTTACAATAGTTTACAAAAATTAAATTTAGTTCAGGTTTAACTGCTTTCTTTACTTTCTCTACAAAATGAAAAATAAAATTCTACTCACCTGCCACTATGAATTCTTAAGTGATTGTAACTTTCATTTCATCCTGTGATGTTGATGATGTTACTAACACAGGATCTGTGTTTACTGGAAGCTTGGCTTATTGTCTGTGCAGGATGTGATAGTCATTGTTCAATGAATTTTGGTTTCCTGCATGTATACTAGGTCACCTCTTCCCATCATTCAACCCAATTTCTCTCTAGTTTGAGCATGAACAGGATGATTTTGACCAGCTGTTTTCACCATCACATTTTGCTCTAGGTACTGCTTTATCTGTTAAAGAAAATTCTCACCCTCTTCATCACTTCCGTGACATGATTTCATGGGTATGTTCCGTGTTTTCTCTTTCCTCAGTATCTTTTGATTCCCATTATGCTTTACTAGATGAAACCCATACTCAAGATTACTTTGTTTTCTCTCCTTTGCCTGATATTAGGGTCCTTGTGGACTCAGTTGGTAAACATTTATTATGCGAACCTGTACACATATGCCTCATCCTACTTGACTCTTTTGTTCTGGCTTACAGTTATTCTTCATTTCTGTTCTTTGATTCCTAATCACCAGAATCTCTTTTACCTTGCTTGGGGAGTGGACTCTTTAACTTCTATTTTCTTTTCTAGTACCCAATTTTCATCCCTTCATCTCTTTCTTACCTACCATCCTGTATTACTGTTTTTCTCTTCATTTTCTTTCCGAGACCAAACATCATGTGTTTTGGAGAGATTTTTTCTTCTTTTCACCACTTTAGCCTTTACTACTGCTCTATACCTCCTTACTTGGTTCATTTGCTGTTAGGGTGGGATGCTCTTTTAACTAATGTTTGCCTATCTCACTCTTATATCTGTGATCTTTGTCAGGCTCCTTTTTTTTGGCTGGAGGTCTTTGGTGGTGTTCTTGATTCACCGAAGACCTGGGCTGAGGCAGTCTAGCATCATTGTCTTCTTTGGTTTCTTGTCTTTTTGAACCTTGCATTCCTGTTTCTTGGCCTGCTCAATCCATATCTTCCCTTCCCATTCCAGCTTTCTGATATTCTTCTTCTCCCCTCCTCTTCTTCATGACATCAGGATCCTTGTTTACCTCGTTGGTGACTATCCTGGTGGGTCTGGCCCAATAGGATCCTGTCTGTCTGGTGTGTCTCGAGCACTTGGTCTCTATTTTCAGCAGACAGATGGGTTTTTCAAGCTCTCACCAATGGTCTATCTCTCTTTTTTCTTCTTCCCTCTGATCCCATTTATCTTCAGCATCTCTAGGGTATGATTTCGGATCTCTTGGCCAAGAATGTCATTGAAAGAGTATTTACCCTTACGCTAGGTTATTGCTCTTAATTCTTTGTGGTCCCCAAGAAGACCGGGAATGGTGTCTAGTTATTGACCTGTTATCTCTTAATTGGTTTCTTGTCATCTCTTGGTTCTGTATGGAGGGTTTCTTTTCTCTCTGGTTGTCCTTTTCACCTTGTTTGTGGATGACTATGATCAATGTATCTGATGCCTTTTTACGCATTCTGATTGCCCCATCTTTCATACATTTTCTTCATTTATCTAGCAGGATCGAGTCTTCCATTTTCGTGCTCTTCCTTTTGGCATTGTATCTGCTCCTTATGTCTTCAGTCGAGTCATAGGGACATTTGCCCACCATGTTCATGGATTGGGGCTGAGGTTCCATTATTACATGGATGATTTGTTTTTTCCTCACCTCTTCTCAGGATGATTTCTACTCTCACACCTACATTTTTCTACAGGAAACTGCTCAGCTGAGCTGGCTTGTCAAGCACTTAGTCATTTTTCATGCCTACCCAATATTTGATACATCTGGACATGTTCTTCAACTCTCATCTCAATCAGGCGATAGAGTATGTTGCCACCAAGATTTGAGCTTCTCATTTACACCTTGCATATGAGGTTTGTTTGCTGCTGGGGACCCTGGTTTCCCTTGAACTACTCCATTCCTTAAGCCATGCACACATACTCCTTCTCCAGTGGATATTACTTGACCAGTGGAACCTTTGTTGCGATCTGTTGTCTTTGATTGTCACAATTCACCCCAACAATTCCATGGTTGTTTCTTATATCAACCATTCCAGGACTCTCTGCTTCTTTGCATTAGACCTACTATCTTGAGCTCATTCTCGTCTGGTTGGTCTCATAGCTTGTATGTGCCGGGCACTCTAAACTGGGTGACAGATCATCTCTCTCAGCCAGACAGGATCTACCCTCTGGTTTTTCATTGAGTTTGCTCTCAGTTGGGCTTGCCTCTCATCAGTGCTTTTGGCACTTCTCTCAACACTGAAATTACCCATTTCTTGGTTTTCAGTTCCTCATTCTTTGGCCTTAATAGTCGATGCTATCAGCCTGGACTGGTCTCACTCTTTCTGTAGGCCTATCCTCCTCTTCATCTCCTCCCTTGTTTTCTTTCTCTGATATGTAACACTCCTTGTCAGATCCTGTTAGTGGTGCTTCTATAGCCTGCAGAACCCTGGTTTTTTCTGCTTTGTCTATTGGCATTCAAGCCCTCTCTTTCTGCTCTCTCTAGCTCCAATCATACATCTATCTTTTACCCAGAGTTGTCCTCCCATTGTCTTCTCCTATGAAATTTGTCTGGCTCATTACCTGGAAAGATAGACTCTGATTATGTAGCCTTTTTCTTATCCCATTCCTGTCACCCTCAACTTTGTCTATTGGCAGAAGTGGCAATTTTTATTAACTTGGTCCATCTATCACTTCCTTCTTCCAGGCTGTCCTAATGTGGCCCAACTTTTGCTCTTTTTTTCTCCTAATTGTTTGACCATGGATTGTTAGTTTCCACCATTGCTAGTTATCGGGTGGCTTTATCAACTACATTTTGCCTTTTTTTATTACCACCAGGTTTTTCTCCTCCCATGTCCTCTCCACTTTGTTCCAATCCTTCCTTCCTTCATCAAATTCCTCATCCTACTCCCATGCCTTGCTGGTAAATTAGTGTGGTTTTATTAGGTCATCCAGAAATTGTCATGTTTTGGAATACTTTCATTAACCCCCCCAAAAAAAACGTACATCATTTATAATAGTAAAACAAACTACCTAAACATCACGTTATTGTAGCGTATATAATGTGTAAAGCTTAGTATACTCTAATCCCTTATAGTGATGGCACATGATGATACACACATTTGACATGTAATGGTGTTTGAATACAAGAAGAGGAACAATGCCTCTGTAGCTATAAAGAATATCAAAGAAATTTATGGAAATGTTTGAAGTTTCATAAGTGTCAACGATGGTTCAGCAAATTATTTTCAGGAGACTTTAGCCATAAAAACTGTGATGGCAGGGGCCGACATGCTCGAATTGATATTGATGCTCTGAAGACGCTTGTTGAGTCTAATCCAAAGCAACACACTTGTGAAATGGCCCTGAAATTGCATGTCTTTCGTGAAACAATACGTAAACATGTAAGGAATATGGTAAAACTCCATAAAGAAGGTGTTTGATTGCCTCACGAACTCTCTGATGATCATCATTTCCAACATGTGAACGTTGCTTTGTGTCTTCTGGTGTGTAATGTGCATGAACCATTTTTGGATAAATTGTCACCAGTGATGAAAAATGGATTCCCTATGCAAATATTAAATTCCAAAAACAATGGCTCAGTCCTAGACAAAAACCACTTCCAACCCAAAACCTGGACTCCATCTGCAAAAAGTGATGCTTTGCATTTGGTGGGACATCAAAGGAGTAATTCATTTTGAACTCCTCAATCCACAGTGAACTGGCAATGCAGAGATATATAGCCAGCAACTTGAACATTTAAATCAAGCCCATCATCAGAAATGCCCTTCACTCGTCAATTGGAAAGGTGTTCTTATTCTTAATGACAATGCGCATCCACATGTGGCATGTTTGATGCAATACAAGATTATGGAGTTGGGTTGGGAAGTTCTCCCCCACCCACTATATTCTCCAGATGTGGCACTATCAGATTACCATCTTTTTCATTTACTGCAACAACATCTTAATGGGAAAATGTATGCAAATGTGGAAGGTGTTAAAGAGGACATTGACATGTTATTTGCTTCAAAGCCAAGTGATTTCTTTAATCAAGGCATTAACAACCTGATTTTAAGATGGAAAAGCATCATCAATAAGAATGGATACTATTTCATTTAATAAAAGTTTTGTTTGATATAAAAGTTGGGTTTTTCATTTAAAGAAAAGCAACATTAATTTCTTGATGACCTAATACATGCTGTTCAAGCTATTGGCATCATGTTCCTTATACCATCTTTCTATGAAAACTTTTCCCTCTTCTTTCCTGCATCCTCTTTCACTGTTTTTATTTACTTCTCTACCCAGACTGGGCTTTTCTTCTTAAGACTTCAGCTTCTCAGCTTCACTCACATTTTCCTCTTTCTGATTTCTCGCATCTATGCTCATTCAAATCCAGAACATCTTCTGTGTTCAGTTTGGCTATTTGTACTTGGCACATAAGTCATCATTTTCAGGGTTCCTGTCATCATTTGTTGAGAAATCTTGCCTTCTA